CAGAAATTGTCCGAATAAGTGAAAATCGGACATTTATCTGTCCGATTTTCTAAAAATCAGTTCAATATCTGAATTTCCCGGTACGGAAATCTCATCAGAAATTAAACTGGTAAAAATAATTATAATATTATTAACTGCATTTTGCAGGCTTTATATACGCTCATGACAAAAATTTGAATACGGGTATAAACAGTGAATAGCGCGTCGCATAGCGGTAAGCAAATAAACTATAACCTTAATACTAGTTACAAAAGGACTTTCTGAAAGATTTCAGAAATATTGCAAATGCAATATTTTAAAAAACATTGTTATGCCTCCGGAGAGGCACGGTAGTTAGGATCGTTTGCCGGAAGGAATTTGGGAATTCGGGCTCCGCCCGAGTAACTCACTGATTTTATTATAAATAAAAATGACACCTTTGTATTCGGAATAAATATATATATAACTATTTTATTCGTAACTTGGTTTAATTACAAAGTTCCCGCACGTCACTCGCGTCGCGTATCGCGATATCGGATATCTTGGCGTGCGCGTGTCTGGAGCAGTATTGCCAGAGTTGGTACAATTGTACCAGATTTGGTACTTTTTTAATTAAAAAGTACGTTGATACTACTTTGAAAAAAAGAGCAAATCTGGTACTATTTCGACATTTGTCGAATTCAATAATTTTTCGTCCGAAACAACCAATGCATCAGATTATGCATTGAAAGTTGAGAATGAAGATTGAAATTTGACAATTAAAACAAAAAAATTTTAACTCCTTTGTTCTTTTTTGTTCTAAATAGTCAAATATTAATCTTAAATCTTCAATCTTCAATGCGTAGTTTGATATGAGCTTAATAGATTATGCAAGGTTTAGATTGCGTTCCGAAATTCATTGGCAATGTTAGCAATGAATTTCGGAACGCAGTCTTAAAAAGCAAATATGTTCCAGTTCTACATTTTTACCATATTTTATGCTTCTATAACATATGTATATTTCTATTACACAGTTTATGTTGCATTATTATAGTTTATGTTATCTGTTTCTTGGAAAATTTTGATTATTATATATGTTTAATTCTATTATATAGTTTATATAGTATATTTTTATAGTTTGTGTTGCATTATTATAAGTATCGTCGTCTGTTCTTAAACAATTTTTTATCTGATAATAAAATGAAAAGGTAAATTTTTTTATATATTTTTATCAACTTTATTATACTTCGTATATTAATTAATATTAAAAATGTGTTTATATTTTAAGTTAGAAAAATGTATTTTTAGTTTATTTCTCTGTTGTGAACATATTTTGTATGATATATTTATTTCACAGGTGTAAAAGTTCTGATAAAATATCTGATAAAGCATCTAACAAAGAAAATGATTGCAGTATTGCTAAGAAAAGAAAAAATTATCAGCATAAATTTAACAATAATTGGACAGAACAATTTCCTTGGTTAAGCAAATATAAAAATAACTATGCTTTTTGTAATCTATGTGATCTAAAACTTGTAGGTAGTTTTACTCATATAAAACGGCATGAGCAAACTAATAAACATAAAAGCAATTATCGAACATGCAAACAACATCCGAAAATGGAAACATTTGTTAAAAGTGATAAAACAGTTTTACATGAGAAAAAAGTTTATAGCGCTGAATTAAAATTAATCATGTTTTTACATGAACATAATTTGCCATTTTTATTAATGGAACATTTACCAAAACTAATTTCATCAATATGTCCAGATTCAGATATTGCTAAAAGTATAAATTGTGGCAGGACAAAAACAACAGTTATAACAAATGAATGTTTAGCTATAGAGAACAGCTAAGACTTTAAAAAAAACTTCTTTCAGAAGAAAAATGTTATTATTCCATAATTCTAGATAAAACAACAGATGTTTCAATAAAAAAAATGTTTAGCAGTAGTTATACGCTTTGTTTATAAAAATAAAGTAAGAGATAAATTTCTAGGTCTTATAGAATTCAATCTGCTTCTGCTGAAGCATTATTTAATGCAATAACTGAATTACTTACTAAAAATAAAATACCACTTCAGAAAATTATTGGCTTTGCTGCTGATAATGAAGCTGTTATGATGGGACAAAAATCGAGTGTTCACACAAGACTTAAAGAATTAAATTCAAATATAATTACACTGAGTTGTATATGTCACTCATTACATTTGTGTTCTTCAAAAGCAACAACTAAATTGCCAAAATCTGTGGAAGAATTTGTAAGAAGCTTATATAACCATTTTGCTAGCAGTTCAAAGAGAAAAAGTAATTTAGAAGAGTACCAAAAATTTTTAGATTTAAAACCTTATAAAATGCTGCGACCTTCTCAAACAAGATGGCTATCATTGCAAGTAAGTTTCTGATAAGCATAAACATTTCTTAATGCATTGTATTCAAATATTTGTCACATGACATAGAATGTCTAGCAATTTCAATTTTAAATGTTTGACCTATGCATGAAAGACTAAAACAGAAGAATAAAAAATAAATAATAAGTTCTACAATATTAATTTATTCATTAAAAATATAATTCTTAATTTTTTATATATAAATTATGATAAACAAATATCTAGATATGATACACCCGAAATGTATGCTAATATTTATTAATTTTATATCCTAATATCTAATAATTTAGAATGTGAAAGCATTGATGATATCTATTGTATTTTAAAACCGCTTTTTTACTAATAGGCTGTCGTCGACAGAGTACTTCTATTGTGGGATTCTTTTACATTATATTTTACGAATGCTGTATTCGAAGAGGATAAGCTACATGTAACGGATGCAATACTTAATAACTTAAATAATCCTGTTTTCAAAATATATCTTATATTTTTATCATATATATTAGACATTATAAATAAGATGAAATTATATTCAAAAAGGGATTGTTGATAAAATTGATTTATCACAAATAAATCCAACTAATCCTGATTATTATTTAAAGTTAGAAGATATTTATATGGGTGCAAATGTACAACTTTTTTTAAATGATCATTCAATATGCCCAGAAGAATTAAATAAGATCAGAATTAATATTTTGAATTTTTACGTAGAGTTATGTCAACAAATAAGAAAGCGATTCGATTTTAATGATAAACTTCTGATATTTCTTACCAATTTTCATCCTAAACGAGCACTAAATGGAAGTGTTGCTACGATAGCGCAAGCAGCAGAAATATTTAAAAATTTGGTTTCTAACGTAGAAAATTTAAATAGTGAATGGAGGCAATTACAGGATGTGCAATATCTTAAAAAATTTGAGAATGCTTCATTTGACCAATTTTGGATGGAAGTATTTCAAATGAAAAATGAGTTAAATGAAGAAATGTTTCCTAATTTAAATCAATTAATTAAGGGCGTTATGTGCTTGCCACACTCTTCTGCATCCGTAGACAAAGTTTTTTCTCAATTAAATTTAATTAAGACCGATTTACGAAATAGACTAGATATGTAACTCAATTATATTAGCAAAACAACTTATAGACGATGAAAATTGTTATACATGGGAACCTTCTGAAACATTAATAAAAAATAAAGCAAAATATTAAATGCATATTTAAGCTTGTGTTTAATGTATTCAAGTAATTTTAATTTATTTCTTTTCTGCTTTTTCTCAAGATAGGATATATAATTTTTAAATTGTTATATATATATATGATTCAGTCTGGTACTTTTTATCATATATCTGGTACAATCTGGTACTTTTTATCATTTAGTTGGTACAAAATATTTTTTTACGCTGGCAACACTGGTCTGGAGTCGAGTTTCGGTCGCAAGACTCACTTCTCGATCTTATGTATTTCTTTCTGCCGACTGCGTGGCAGTTAATTTAATAGTTTCCCGTAACAAGCGTTATTGACTGCCCGCGTAATGTTAATTAATGATAAAGACTGCCCGCGTAATGTTAATTAATGATAAAGACTGCCCGCGTAATGTTAATTAATGATAAAGACTGCCCGCGTAATGTTAATTAATGATAAAGACTGCCCGCGTAATGTTAATTAATGATAAAGACTGCCCGCGTAATGTTAATTAATGATAAAGACTGCCCGCGTAATGTTAATTAATGATAAAGACTGTCCGCCGCTCGTTAGCGATGGGTCTTTTTATTATCTCCCCTTGGTTTCCCAGGAGGGGATCGTTTAGCGACAAGACCATGTGTCGTGTCGCTCGATTTTTGCGGCAAGATCCGGATGCAAGCTAAGGAGTTCTAAGTAGGACTTCTTTGCTTGCATTTTCGCAATTTCCTTTTCGCTTTTAGGTAGGACCTCTACGTTGCATTTTCGCAACGTCCTTATTCCGCTTGCCTTGGTTTCCGCGTTTTCGTAATGAGTGATTGCGCGGTCGCTCGGGCTTCGCGCGTGGCTCGCGTTGTCAGCGCTTCGCTCGGTCAACGTTCGTAACGTGATCTGTATTCGCGTTACACGTTGAGCAATATCTTATCGTATAAAATAATATCTCTAAAATACTATATATCTATTAATTCGTGTATAGCCTTTTCGGGCTATAACAATATTGCGCGCAGCGCGGGTCGCGCTTTCGGGTGTTCGGTCGAATATCGATTATTAATCGCGCGGCGTAAATCCGGCAGGAGCCGTTAGCTGTCGGGTGGTCCTGTGCGGCCGCGTCGGTGGGCGGTGGGCGGTCCTTCGGCGCGTGTATCGAGTTCGGATGTCGATCGGTGACGCGGTAGGGCGCGGGTCGGCTCTCGGCGTGGGACTTAGCGCTCCCGTAATAATGGCGCGTCGGTCTTAATTATGGCGGCTAACAGTCGGTCCGTCGAGTGGTATAACGGTCGGATCTTATTCGCGTATCGAGATCGCGGGTGCGGATTTCGGGATGCGTCGGCCGACGAGAACTCCCGTCCGTGGTAGGGAACTCCCTTGCCACGAGAATGCTTGCCGATGCACAAGATGGACGGAAAGCTAGCGAGGGGCCGAGAACTCTCGGCGGGGTCGAGTACGCCCGATCCCGTGTACCTCTTAATTCGTTCGGAAAGGATCGCTCCCAGAGATGCCGTAAATTCCCGGCGGAGGTTGGGTACTCCCAACCCCGTGGTTCTTTCTCTGGTGAGCGGTTAAGGATCTCGGAATTAGCTCAGGCGTCTTACAGGCGCTGGCGGATCGGAGGATCTGGTCTCGATAATTAGAAACGCGCTCTATTTATACTAATTCTCCGGCGCGCGCGTCTGCGTAATTCGCGTATTGTTCTAACG